GAAAATTTTGTTTAAAGGCGCTTTCACTCATATAAACATAGTTTTAGTATTCGCACTTTTCAGGTTTAGTTTATGGGGATGATAGCAATTATTTTCATACCTAAAAACTATAATGCCTCTTGGTCTTACTTTCACTAGTTCGACCGAGATATTTTACCAAATCTAAAACTATTAGCAATTTTTTCTCGATATTTTCCATTTCATTTTCAGTTAAATTTCCTTGCTTAATTCCTAATAATCTTTCTACATCCACCGCCCGCACTTGTTCGCATTTGGCTTTGCCAGGCTTTCCTTGAAAATAAGTGGGAGCCTGAAAAGAAGGTTTAAGATTGTGAACTTTGCTGGAAAGGGGAACAATAACCACTACTTTATTTTGTTCGTTTTGCTTATTATTAGAAACTATCACTGCTAAACGTCTTTCACTGTCTTTATCGTTTTTCTGTTCGTGTCCTATGGCGTCATCCAAATTAGTGTAATAAACTTCGCCTCTTTTAATTATTCTATTCTCCACGGGCATCTTTTCATTCGTCGGGGTCATTGGCTCAATCTTGGTAATCTTTGGCTAATTGTTTTTCTGATTCCTCTTGGGTTAATTCCTTATCTTGAATTATCTCGTTATAAATAACTTGGTAATCTAACTTTTTTTCCGCCAGAAGGGATTTTATTTTTTCCGCCTCGGCAGTTTTAATTATTAACAATTCAGTCATAATATTATATTTTAGAAACAATTTTATTCTCATTTTTCATATTCCTCAAAAGAATAATATTTGGGTTTTTCATCAATCCGCACATGTAAATAAGGAACTCCTGTTCCATGAGTACTTAACCAACGGGGACGGTCGCTTTTTGACAATTTCTCGGACAATTTTTCGGCTACTTCTTGTCAAAGTGCTTGTTGCTGTTCCTCGGGGGCATTTTTGGTAAATTGGGTGATATTTTTGAAATCAAGCATTTTCGTGCTATCTTCAACCTGTCGTTTAAGGGCGGGAACAACAAGAATTGCATCGCTTGGTTGTTGGTTATTAGGAAAACTAGTAGCCAAAAGTTTTTCGATATTTCGGACTCTGGCATTTGGAGTAAGATGGGGAATGAAAGCAGAAAAATCTTGGCTAATATTATTTAGCGCTTCACTCTTTATCACCACAAATTCAAAAGGCTTATCGAGGGTTTTCTGGGATACTGGCGGGCATTCTCAAAAATAGGCGGGAAATTTATCATTAGCATCTTTTAAGGCTCCTTGGAAGGATTGAAAAAATGTTCGGGTCTTTAATCTTAAAAGACTAATAACGATTCCTCAGCCTAATTTTTTTCTGCCTTTATCACCAGTAGCAACAAAATGATATTTAAATGTATCGTCATTTATTTTTGTGGCAACATACTCTACCGATTTATTTTGGTTGGGGTTAGAATTATCAGGTGCTGGCGGATTATTGTTGTCAGGTGTATCATTCGGAGGTGGATTTGGGGCATTTTCCAACCCCTCCTTAATTTCTTTAATTTCCTGCTCTAATTTTTGGATTACCTTTTCTAGTTCTTGATGATTTTTGCCGTTAATATTACTTAGTTCATTTTCTACTTCCGTTATTTGAGTCAAAAATTCAGTTTTTTTAGTTTGATTTTCCGGCTTATCAAGGTCATTCTTTATTTGGGATAATTGACTCTGCAATTGCCGAAGTTTTTTCTCCTCATTCTGCTGTTTGG